ACAATGCATAAGATTCTAATAAGATTACTGACATTTAGAAATGGGAGGAAAGGAGCTAAAGGTGTAGGGAAGGTGTGATACGTAGGGGAAGAACAAAAAGGGAAAAGAAAAAAATGTGAGAGAATGAAAAGATGAAAATAAAGTGTTTGTAGATGGGGAGGGGAGGAGGGGGTGAAGGGAGGGCAGAGGTAAGGGGAAAAAAATGAGAATCAAGACTTGCCATGTAAAGGTACATGATCCCAACAATGAATGTAACTGTACTGTATCCCTAAATGTACCAATAAACTCAATAAAAAATAAAAAAAAAAAAAAGAAAAATCTCAGATGAAGAAGCACAATGGCCAATAAAGACTTGGAAAAATGATCAACATCACTGGTCCCTCAAGAGACGCAGATGAAAACAACACAGAGATCCCACCTCACCCCAGAAAGAATGGCCTCTATCGAGAAATCAATAACAAATGCTGGCAGGGCTGTTGGCAAGAGTGTAAACTGGTACAGTCACTGTAGGGTCCCTACGGAGATTCCCCAAAAACTAAAATTAGAAGTCCCACTTGACTCAGCTGCGCCCCTGTGGGAATCTCGCTGAAAGAATCTAAAGACACCACAACACAGCGATGGATGCACACCCGTGTTCACAGCAGCACAATCAGTAATAACTAAATTGTGGAGACAGCCCGTAGGTCCATCCGCAGATGAACAGGTTGAAAACATGAAGTTCTGCTCTACCACAAAGAAGGATAAACTGGAGCCATCTGTAGGAAAACGGATGCACTTTGAGACCATAACGTTAAGTGACATAAACTGGACACCATAAAGCTTAAACGTCACATGGTTTCTCTTAAATGAGAGACCTCATGTATAAATAAAGTGCAAAATAAAAGGCAGACAATAGGAAAAATTATAATTGCCATATACTGCCAACATGTACTAATAAAAACAAAGCATTTTAAATAGAATCAAACATCGCAGAAGAGAACAGTTTCCCACACAGCCAGGCCGGGCCCTGACCACTCGTTCTGCATGTGCAGCGTGAGTACCCGTTGTCCCCAGCTGTGGTGTCCAGGGTGACACTGAAAGGTAAACAGTGGTTAAAATGTTTAGCATCAGTAAAGCTGGCAAAGGAATAAACACTATTACATCTACTGTGTACCGGTTCTCCCCTGGATTAACCAGTCTCAAAACAACCCCCTGAAATATATGCTACCGTGTCTGTCTTAGAGATGAGGAAAACCAAGACAAAGAAAGACTAATTCGCACAAAATCTCATCCCTAGTAGCGACAGGATCTGAAAGGAGCTGGACGCCCACCCTGGGGCTCCCTGGGGCTCTGTGTCTGTCTGCCGAGAGGTCTTGGTCGGATTCAGCCTGACTCTGCTTACCGGGCAGCCTCGGCAGATCGGAGAGCCTGGCAGGACCTGCAGGCCACCTGGGCCGGGCCCTGAGCGAGCCGATGAGCGGCTCTGCCCTCTGAGGGGCTCTCAGGCCTGCTCCCGAGCCCAAGGGCTCTCACAAGGGCCGCGGGACCCGCACAGTCGGGTCCGGAACCCACCGCAATGCTGTCCTCAGCTGGCGCCTCTGCGTCTTTATCGGTGTTGTTTGCAGAGCCTGGCAGGACCTGCAGGCCACCTGGGCCGGGCCCTGAGCGAGCCGATGAGCGGCTCTGCCCTCTGAGGGGCTCTCAGGCCTGCTCCCGAGCCCAAGGGCTCTCACAAGGGCCGCGGGACCCGCACAGTCGGGTCCGGAACCCACCGCAATGCTGTCCTCAGCTGGCGCCTCTGCGTCTTTATCGGTGTTGTTTGCAGCACCTCGCATTTGCGTTCATCTTGGGCAATCGGCGCGTGGGTATTCCATATTAATCGCTTTTATTCCTCTCCCGTCTGGCAGTGCTACTATCCCTAGGGTGGGATATTTTATAAATTGAGTCTAGAGAGCAGGGAAACTGAGCCACGCTTAACCCAAAGGGGAGCATTTGAGCTGAGTGTAGAAAGCGTGCAGAGTCAGGTGGGAAGGAACGCGGAATCGAAGCACCAATAAAGGCTGTGTTTATGACGTGACGCACACCCGCACATCTGCTTCGCGCTCCTTAGGCAACCTCAGCATCCTCTCATCGCTGGGTGGCTGAGCCCATGGACGTTTCCCCCGGCAGCCTTTCTCACCTCAGAAATGGGCCGGTTCTGTCCAGCGGCTCTTTTGCCCCACACAGTGGAACAGCCATAGAGAATGTCTCCTAATACGTGGCATTTTCTTAATTCACATTTTCTCATCATAGTGTTTCTTTTGAGATTTGTTTAGATGACTTACTATGTCTGTCATTTTGCATTTCGACTTGGTGGCTTGATCAAATTAATGAAGAGGCTTAACCTAAAGGAGTTCCATCAAGCATTAAATTTACCCCCTAATTCGACCTAATAAGTTGCCTTTCAATGTGGTAATCAGGGTCATTCAGATTCTAAATATCACTGCTTTTATTCACTTACTCTTAATTTTCTCTAACACTTGCTTTTTTAATGTCAGTACTTTAAAAACCTTTGTTCTGACCCCTGCATCACAGCTGCGCATGGAGGTATAACCACTGATGCATTCACCAAACACGCTGACTTTGTGCACAGGAAGGGTGCCTGAAAAGTAAGCAGGGGAAATGAGCACTGTCAAGTTTCAACCTGTTAGAAATAACGGAAAACAGGATCAATGACATTAAATTCGTAAGCACGTGTTAAAGAGGAGAGATTATGCCTTCAGCCACTTTAGTGCATTAGTCAAAGAAAAAGGGAAGGCGATGCCCCGGAAATATTCAGAGAACGGTCTGGAAGAGCACATCACGGACTCCGGCTGATCTAAGAGGGGCCACTCCGTCCTCCCGCAACGCAGAGCGCGTGAAGCCGTGAATGTCACCGCCACCTCAGTCACAACAGTGGACAGGAAATCAGCCCGGAGTGCAGCGAGAATACTCACATGCCCAGAGGACTCGTCATCTTCCACTGTGCTCCTGTTTCCCACCTCGTCACCTGGCTGGCCACAACCTTTTCCGTCTTCCTGTGTCCCGTTAGCTTTCTTGCCCTCTTCCTTTGTCCGGTTAGCTTTCTTGCCCTGCACCCACTGCCGTGACACTTCTCTGAATTGCAGACCTGATGGTATTTCCCAGCTGGGGCTGCTTCACAACTCACCACCCTTACAAAAACTCTCGGACCGCATTTCCATCCGACTCCACTGGTGCAGCTCAGTGAGATCATTGTCGACTCCTCCGACACAGCTAAATACTAACTGCTAGGTGGTTTGCTAAGATGATTAATATTCTTATTCAGGGAGAAACTTTACACTTTCTTCCTTCATAAATTCTTATTTGCATTCACTGACAAGTAGACACAGTATGTGTTTGCCATGTACAGCATGAAGTTTGGATCACGTCTGCACTGATGAATGGTTATTTTGTGATGTGAAGACTGAAAATCTACTCTAAGCAATTTCTAAATATATGATTATTTTGATTAATTGTAGCCAATTTGATGTACAATAGATCTCTTGAAATTATTTCTCCTAACGGAAATTTGGGGATTTTTTAAATTAATTTATCGGTACACTCTTGATACACATAGTGATCCCTTCATCACTGGCATTTTGTATCCTTCAACCGACACCTCCCAAGTCTCCTCACCCTCCACCTTGCAGTAGCCACAACTTTACTCCCCCTGCCCTAAGCCTAGCCTTTTCCTCTCCATATGTAAGTGAGGCCACATGATATTGGTCTTGCTGCTACTGCTTAGCAAAATGTTTCCCACGTTCATCTGCATTGTCACAATTAACAAATTTTCCTTCCTTTAATAAAGCTAAATAATATCCCACTGTGTACATGTACATTTTCTTTGTTTTTAAAAATTAATTTTATTTTTTGCAGTGTTGGAATTGAACCTAGGCTCTCTCACACGCCAGGCAAGAGCTCTTTATGGAGCCACGGGCCCAGTCCTGTACATTTTCCTCATCTGTGATCCATCAGTAAGCGTTTAGGTAGATGCCGATCATGTTGTTGTAAAACTGAGCAAACATAGCAGTGCAGATGCCTCTATGCCACACTGATTTCATACCCTCACATATATACGCAACGGTAGGACTGCTACATCCCACAGAGGTTCCGTTTTTAATAAATGGTTAAGTCTTCAGTGAAAGTAGATCTCCTAATAAATTTTGTGACCTCATCGAATAACCCATACTTATTGTCTTCTTCATTATAATTGATAAACTGTATCATCTTTCCTTTAAATTTCTCACCTAGTACTTTGTTAAATAACTTCCATTACCAATGAAGTAGCTTTCTTTCATCTACACACTCATTTCCCCGAACCCAAAGGCCACGGTTAACTTAGGCCAGGCATTGTGATTTTGTAAGTACCAGGGATGTATTTCGTGCTCCTTATGTAACTAAGAACCACTGAAGCGAGGTCAAGATACAACACACCGAGAAACTACTGACATTTCCTCCACCCAATTGGGCGAATCTAGGGCAGAGATTACAGTACATTGTTCTGAATCAAGATACTGACTGTGCGGATCAGAAAAAACACATGCACTTCAAACCGTATTTGGGAGGTCGATTTGACCATTTGGTGATTGGATATAGGAAGTGAAGGAAACAGAAAGATCAAAGATGACAGTCAGGTCTCTATCCTGGAAGCCCAGAAAGAAGAAACCAGAGCGGGGAGAGGCTGGGTTCTGTTTTGTGCATATGGAGTGGACGGGAGGCCTCACACAGCCCTGGAAGTAGCTGGAATCACTGAGGAAAAACAGGTAAGTAAGAGTGCTAAGATAAAACTGAGAAACAACCCCGTTTAATAAAAAGGTAAGCCCAGGGATCCCAGGAAGGAGGCAGAATAGATGACAGAATGTGAGAGGAGAAGCTGGGACTAAGTGGACTCAGCCGCAACAAGACGTCAGAAGCAGCACCAAAGAAAGGGGCAGCACTGAGCGAGGATGGGCCGGAGCCGCAGGAGCGGGCTGAGCTTCCAAAGAAGGGCTCGCTGCCTTCGGGTGGCAACGGCTCACACGTGACTACACGCTCAATGAAAGGAATCCGTGATGATAACATTGAAGACAGAGTAAAGGGTAAAGTGAGGACCTGAAAGGAAAGAAGGGACGGCAGCTAGAGTTAACGAGATCAACTTGAATACGTCTTCCTATCCGATGAAGGAAGGAAGACAGGATGTTAGAAGGCGACGTTCCCTGGACTGCGTGCTCGTATCCCATACAATTCATATGCCAATCCCCTAAGTCCTGTGGGATAATACTGGGGGTTGGCCCTTTGGGGTGATTACATCATGAACGGGAGACCTCAGTGCAGGAAGCGTGGTTTTATAAGAGACAGGAGGAGCTGGGGGATGAGGAGTGCAGTACTTGCATTAGCCCCAGGTTCAAACCCTGGCAGTGAAAAATAAAAATAAAAAAAAAAACACAGGAGAGGGCTTGCTTCCCTTCCCTGCTGTCTGCCATGAACAGAGAAGGAGATCATGCTCATCTGCAAACTAGGAAGCAGCTCTTCACTAGACACCGGATGGGCCAACACCTTGGTCTTAAAGTCTTCAGCTTCCAGGACAGTAAAAAGTAAATGGCCCGTGGCAGTTTGTTGTGGCTGTTTCAACTAAGACAAGGCAGAGTGAGAAAAGATGAAAGTGCAGAATAGGAGAATGAGGAAAAAGAGAGAGGGAGAGTAAAGAAAGGAAGGAGAGAGAGAGAGAGAGAGAGAGAGAGAGAGAGAGAGAATTTCTAACATTTAATGATTATTTTTCTGGTGAGATAAATGAGCCTCAGAAAGGTTAAGCTCAGCCAGGCATGGTGGAACACACCTAAGGTCTTACCACCCAGGAAGCTAGGGCAGGGGGATTGCAATTTCAAGGCCAGCCTAGGTTACACAGCAATATCAAGAAGGGAAAGGAGGGAAGAAAGAAAAAAACTAAGTTCACTCAGTAAGTGAGTGGCAGAATCTGAATTTAAATTTAATTGTAAACTTTAGATCTCCTATCCATTAAGGTAGACAGTTGTGAACCTTCCGAGTTTCCTTAAAGGTAGAAGCTGATCAGATAGAGTAGGAATACAGAGACTAACAGTTTAAGGAGAACGAAAATGATTTGACATCGATATAGCACAGAATGAGACCATCAACTCAGGAAACAGAAATGTGGAGGGCACAGAAAGAATTAGAGATTTTAAAGTTGTGGTGGCACCAACCCACATGGGTGAATTTTCTCCCACAAAGCTCAACTGGAGATGTGAAGACAGACCTGTAAGGTTCTATGTGGGCACAAACTCGGAAGGATCATGGCAAAATAAGTTTAAGATATTAGCAAGAGAGAGGCCAAAATAATGGTGTAGGGAACCTGAGAGAGACGGGACAGGAAGTGGAAAGAAGGGCTGACCGGAAGGAGGGGAAGGAGGGACTGGGCATCCCTGAAGCGTGCCATTTGAGCGTACCCTTCCGTCTAACATTCTGACCATCACAAAGTAGGGGCTGTGTAAATATTTTGTAGTAAATGAAGGAACAGCACCAAGGCTGCCATGTTGGAGTAGGGGCTCAGACCACTCCCCCTGTGAGGGTTCTAATCCCAGACTTCTCTGGATG